CGTTCTGTATGTAGCACGCTGTGTGTACCGAAGTCCCGCGCCTGTGCTGCAACCGCATCAGACCCAAATACCACACTGTGTCAGGCGGCGTGGTACACAGGAGTGAGGAACAGCTGACGGCAAACGCCGTTATTCCCGGCTGTGCCATGACACGTTACGCCAGGTGATATTCGTTTTCCTCGAGGGCTGGGGTCATCCCGGGGGAAATTGCCCTCCATAATGAGCCGGGCCGCGTGTTTGACCCGGCTGGCCGGCGGCTAACGGAGTTTGCAGGCTCATCGCCGGTCACGTGTTCAGCGACTCTGGCTGCCGCAGCCCGTCCGTCTGTTTCCGACACTTCCATTGCGCGCCGGTTACCGGCGGTCGAGCTCGCCGCCTACCAATTACTGGACCAAGCTGTGCAGGGTCGGACCATCAAGCCGTTCGCCCGCCGGGCAGCCGCCGCCGGCTCCGACCTGGCGCGGCGGCTCGGCTGATGTACGACCCGCCGGCTCTTCTCGGCGTCGACCTTCTCCGCAGGCCCGCCACGCGCCGCCTCCCAGCCCGCTCCCTCGTCAAGCTACCCCGCCCTCTCCGCTGATGACACCGGAGCGGGCGCCGGCGGGCCGCCGGGCTCATGAGCCGGGGGTCAGGGCCGCCGCGCCGGCCTGGCCGCCCCATTACGACCTGCCCGGCCAGGGCCGCCGGGGGTGCCCCGGGGACGGGCTGGGATAAGTCGGTTCCGGTTGGGGTGGGGGCGGACGCGCGTCTGATGATCATATGGCCGCGCTCGTTGCCCGCACCGTCCGCGCGGTGCAGCCGGCCGGCGCTCAGGTGCGCGCCACGGCGTCGGCGCCGGCCTGGGAAGGCCGCTGCGAGCGGCGCCGGTCGGCCGCCCGTGGGAAGGCCGGCCGGTATGCTGTCGCCACTGGGAGCGGCCGGGGAAGGCGGCTGCAGCGATCATGCAGCGGCGCCGGCTCACAATGGGTCCGTTACGGCCGCGCCGCCGCGCCACCGCCGCCATTTGTCAGAGCGGGTCTGCGCTTTGTCAACATAGATATTGCGCGGCGTCATTTGTCGTGAGCGGCCCGACACCGGGCCGACCGCGATCCGACAGTAATGGCGTGCCGTGACGCTGTCCGACGTGGCCGCTCCAACTGTTTATCGCCTGGCTCGCCCGTCACGCGGCCAGGAATGCCGCCCGAGGGCCTTTCATTTGCGCCGACCTGTTTATTTTGCCTGGCCGGTGCGTTAATTCCTCATCGGCGGGCTTCCTCTAGCGCGCCCTGTTGTGTACCGGAGGCGGACAATTAGCGCGGTTTGTCAGCACAGGCCGGCCGGGTTGTTGTGCACGATGAACAGGCCACGGCTGGTGTAGGTCCGAGAGAGCGGTGCAGAGAGTGGCCTGAGCTGACAGCGCACAGTGCTGGAGCGGCCCTCGCTGCACAGGTGGTCGAGACGCCCGGTCTGCAGCGCGCGGGGCGGCTCCAGAGCTCACGGCGAGTGCTGCACGGTCTGCCGGCGGTCTCCGTGGCCAGTGCGCGCTGGTGCGCCGGCCATTGATTCCGGCCGAGAGCGGGCGCCCAGCGGGGTCGGTCGCCGCCGCAGCCGCCCGGCGGCCGGTTATTGATACGATCGGGGGCCGGCGACTGATCCGGCGGCACCCCCCGTCGACGAGCGACCTCCCCACCTCCTCATTACCGGCTCGCCCGGGCGGCGTCGACAGTTACAGCCGGCTGAGGTACGGCCGGCTCGGGAGCGGCGGTGGCGTGCCGGCCGGACGCGGGACGCCGACCGCGCTGGGCGCCGCGAGGCTGGCCGCCGGCCGCCGCGCCGACAGGGTGTCCGCCCGCGCGCCCGCGCCGTCACGAGGCGGACAGGCGCCTGCCCGGCGGGCAGGGGTGGAGCGATCCTCCTCCGACTGACTACACGGGGTGGAGGGCTGGCTGGGGTGGCCATCCCAGACCGCCCGCGCGCCACGATGACGTGTGCTGGCGCGGACGCTAAACGCCATCAAACGAGCGTGCCGCTGACGGCCTGCGCAGGTCAGTACGCTCGGCTGGACCGGGCCGGACCAGTCGGATCTGCAGCCGGCAGCTGCAGAGCGGCCCGGCAGCTGGTGCAGCCGCTCGAGCCGGGCCCGCACGCAGCCGGCCGACCGCGGTGGCCGACCACACCCTGGCCGCCGCGCGCCCAACGGCCATGTAACGAGCGCCGGCTCAGTCGCGCCGATATCTTTATTCTCCCGCTGTCGTTAGACCATAGCGGCGCTGACTTTATAGTCGCGGCTTTGCATTTTAACACGGCCCATAGATCATGCGGCCTCGTGTCGTCGAGGAGGCGCGCCGACGGCGGCTGGGCCGGTCCTGCAGGCGCCCAGCGAGGGGTCGCTCGGAGCCCAAGCCGAGCCGAGTCGAGTCGAGCCGAACAGGGCCGAGCCGAGCCGAGCCGAGCCGAGCCGAGCCGAGCCGAGCCGAGCCGAGCCGAGCCGAGCCGAGTCGAGTCGAGTCGAGCTAGCCCGCCCGAGCGAGCCCGCCCGCCCCGCTTCAGGCACCTGTCCTCGCGCCGCCATCTTGCCACGACCGCCGCCGCGGCCACCGCCGGGCGCTCGAAAACGGCACGCAGCGCGCTCCAAACATATGGAGCCATTATAAACAGGCGGAAATAATGGCGGGTCCACAGCGGCGGCGGCGGCGGCTCGGCCGGCGACGTGGTCAGCGCTGACACTGCGCGCTGGTAAATAACACACGGCCGGTCAATACGGCCATCTCCCGGGGATCCCTCGCTCACATCCACTGTCACAGCGGCTATCAACAAGCCGTTTTGTATTCATACGCGGCACGTGACATTTGGCTGATGGTGGGGGTCGGTGGGCGCAGGCGGCCCGCCGGGAGCGGCCGTGCCGTCTCAGTTACACGCTGCGCTGGAGAAGCCGAGCCGGCCGCCGCTGACGGCGCCGGTGGCTGGCGGCTGGATGGATGACGGGCTCGGCCGTGGACTCTGAGGCTCAGGCGTCAGCCGGGCGTCTGAAAGACTCGCCGAGGGCGCAGAGGCTTTGAGCTCTCTCCCTCCCTCCCCTCCCTCCATCCTCCCCCCCTCCCTCTCTCTCTCTCTCTCTCTCTCTCTCTCTCTCTCTCTCTCTCTCTCTCTCTCTCTCCTCTCTCTCTCTCTCTCTCTATCCCTCTCTCTCTCTCTCTCTCTCTCTCTCTCTCTCTCTCCTCTCTCTCTCTCTCTCTCTCTCTCTCTCTCTCTCTCTCTCCTTCACCTTCGCCGCTTGGTATGAAGTTCGCCGACCTTTGCGAGCGCACTAGCGATGCAGTATAGATATGGGTCGTTCGCGAAAAGTTACCAGCATCGGTGAGCGCGGTTAGTCTCCACGGAGTTGTCGCTGCAATTTGCGGTGGTATTTCTTGTTGTATTACACGGGACATTTTCGTACAAGACCACATAGCAGTCCGTATTAATAGGTGCTCGTCGTTCCAATGTCATCGAAGTTTCTGTATCGCCCTATCCCCCAACTCTGTCGCTGGTGGGTTGCTATCGAGACCAGCGTCTAACTTGGCCTGCTACGTGGCGCCCAGCCAGTGCCACCGTCGACGTGGCCGGGACGCCGGAGTCCGACAGAGTGGACCGACCAGGCGACGCCACCCCAGACGTCGCGGTCCGCGGACCGGACCAGCGGGAACGGTCCCAGTCCGCTCCGGCCAGTCGAGCGCGGCTGGAATGTGGGGTCCAGGCCCCTCCCCCTCCCACCTGCACCCCTGCCGGGCTGGAAACGGTCGGCGACATGGACCTTGCGTGGGGCCGGGCGGGTGTGATTTACGTCCAATATGCATCCGGTCGTTTTTTACGGGGCTCTGGAATATGATACGGGGTCTGGTCGGTGATGACATAGCTGGCGGACATTAAGCAAACATGGCCCCCGGCACGAAATGCTTTTAAAGTAAAGACTTTTAAAGTGAGGACTTTGTTTTGTTTGCAACACGCCGCGCCCGTGCGTGACAGATAGCTGGATCTGATTCGCTAAGGATTTGCCAACACATGCTGAGGAAAGGAGCTTGCTGAGGAAATGAATGAACGTTCCCTGCAGGTACTAATCGGGATTGAAAGCGGAGCGAGGGAGGTGTGCTGCCAAGCCGCCGCTGGCGACAGGCTGCCGGCCGGCTCGTCTCAGGGTGGCTCCGGGGTGTAAACAAGACCGGTGATGATCGCGCTCTCCTTGGCGGCTCAGCCGGCCGGGCAGGCGACTAACTTTCGGGCGCCATCACTGACTGCGGCGGCTAACTTTTCTGTTTACCCGGAGACATGCCGGCGCGGGGACCGCGCGGTGGCGCGCCCGGTCGAGCCGTGGCCGCGTTTCATTACGCACGAGCGGCGTCCCATATTTCACGCACGGGGCCGGCCGGGACGACGGCAGGCCTGTCGGTGGGGCTCTCGCGCCGCGGGACGCCCATTAGACGGTCCGTGTTTACCCAGGAATGTCTAATACACGTTTTAAAAACTCGTAAAATCGGTCCGCCGGCGAAGTCTTGATCGGCTGTGCTGGCAGGTCGGCCGTCGCCGGCCGCCGCCGGCCCGCCGGAGGGGGCGGGCGGCGACAAAAAGCGGCGCCCCGTCGGCGGACGCCGCGCGGAAGGGGAGCGCCGGCGCCGATGCCGAGCGGTGGTCACGCACCGCGGCCGGTCGGCCGTGCCGCTGATTTATGCGGCCCGCCTTATTGCTGTGGTCACGTACCGTGCCGCGGCCCCGTATTTATGTACGCCGCCGGGATGGGCGCGGAGGAGAGTCGACTCGAGCCGCGGCCGGCGGGCCGGCGGGCTCTGGGGACCCGGGCGAGAGCTGTCTTTGTCAGCCGCCCGACGCTCCCAATCAATAGCCCCTCCGCCCGCGAGCACGCCCAAGACGTGCGGAAATTTGAAACGTCATTATTCACTGTTTTGATCGCGACCGTGCCAAACTGAATCGACAATGAAGCGAATGCGACCGACCTCATTAAGACTTTTAATTTTTCTTTGCAGACTGCGCAAGATGTGTGTGGCGCGGCGCCGTGCTGCCCTGGCGACGCTGCTCCTGGCCGTGCTGGCGTCTACCTGCTCCGCCGAAGGTAAGTGGCTGCCCGCTGAACGGCCGCCCCGCAATCGGTGCAGCCTTCCCGCCGAGCGCCCCGCCGCCCTAAGCTGCCCCTGCCACAGACAAACCGCACGGCCCATTGCCAGGTGCCGCGACACGGCCGTTTCCTTTATGAGCGTAATCCCGGCTTCCCTGCCAGCGGCTCATTTGGCGCGCCGTTTCCGCGCCAAACGACGGCCGTGCAGGACACGCGGCTGCGGCGCCCGCCATTGTGAAACCGGAGCCGCCGTTAATTTTCTGCAGCGTTGCCTCGCATAATCTGACGGCGCGTCGCCAGCCGATTGATGGCCGGGCTGCGTGACGGCTGCGTGCTTTTTCCGGGGTCGTGTCGCACCTCCCTCTCCGAACGCTAGCGACCGGGCGGCCAGCGCGGCCGTGGCCGACCGGGGTGCCCTGGAGCTGACGCCGCCGGCCGGGGCGTGCTCGGAGCTGGTGCCGCCGGCTGGAGTCGACTCTGGTTGCGCGCCGCGCCCCTCTCAGGTCAGGCCGACTGCGCCGGCGCCTGTCGGCCGGCCGGGCGGGGCTGATGTACGGCCGCTCGGGTGTCGTCCCTGTGGGCGGTGCGGCGTCCGACCGGCCGCCGTCTGGCCGCCGCTGAATTGGCCCCGATCTCCGGCGACGCCGCCGGCCCAGGGTCGCGTGTTGTACCGCCCGCCGTCGGCGGATCCGCCCAGCCGCTCCAGCGCACCTGGTGACGGTGCATGGCCGGTAATTAATGGCGCGAACGGCAGTGACCCCACGACCCGCCGCCGACTCCGCCTACTGTTCCACCACAGTTATTGGCCCAGCTCACAATAATCAGCATAATTTGGCGATTTGTATCAGTGGAGATGTCTTCATCGGAGGTGCAGAGCTGGCGGCCGTCGAGGCGGCTGTCTGGCGGCGGACGTGACGTGGCAGGAGTCGCCTCCGGCCGGTCGGCGGTGCGTGCACTGCACGCCTCTGAGGGGTCGGAAGTGGGTGCGCTCCGCGTCCAGACCGCGCCGTAATAGGTCCGGCCGCCGGGCCGTCCGTTATTAATAGACAAGGAATGATTTTGCCATTTGACTACGGGCGTGTTCTGGTGTTACTCGGGACCATTAGATCTACTGTTCTAAGCCTGCGGGTGACCGGCCGACCGGGCGCCCATAGAGCTCACTTTCCAGTGTGCCGGCCGCCCGCTCGCCCGCTGCTTTGAACGGCGGCCGGCGGGCGCGGCGGCCGCGAATCTCGGCCGTGCGGCGTGTTTTTACGGACTGTTATTAGGCGGCCGGCAAACATCTCATTCTGGGCTGCTGGCCGGCGCTGGCCGGCGCTGCGCTGGGCGGCCGGGCGAGGCCGGCGCCCGCTGGGCCGGACAATGCCTCTCGTCGTGCACGACCGGAGCACCATGACTGCCGGCCGACCGTGATGCGGGCGCGGCGGCGGCGGCGGCGTGGCCATGATCACCGCCTGTGCGTGCGCACCGCGCCGGCGGCCTCTCGCGCGCCGTAATTGTGCCCCTTTGGTGCGCCATTAGCGGCCGCTGATAGTGGGGCCGCCGCTGTGTCACTGCCGCGGCGCGGCCCCGTCGAGAGAGGGCGGGCCGTAGCGCCCGACAGCGCGCCGATCTGACCCTTGCCGACACGCTGTTTTTACGCGGTCGGCCGGGCCACCTGTACGGACAGGCGGGGCCGCGAGCCGACCAGAGCACCAGATGGCGCCCGCGCGCGCCAGGACAGGCCCGGACAGCACAAAAACGCGGTGCGCGCGCGGCGATTTGATGTATTACAAATGGGGTACAACATTGTTTTACAGAATGGCGCGGATCACGCTACGTTCCGGCCGGCGGCGCGGCGGCGTGTGTGGCCTGCTCAGGTGTGGGTCCGGCCGCTGTGGTGTGCGGTCTGCTCGGTGTGGCTCCGGCCGCGGTGTGGGTATGGATCGGATCTCGGGGCGTTCGGTGGCCCCGACGGCCAAGCGACCGTCGCGCCTCTCGCCGCCGGCGCGTCATGTTTCGTCTCAATCAGCGGAAGACTCCGGAGGTTAGCCGTGAATCGAATCAATAAGAAGGCTCGACGATGGGCGGCGCGGGCGGCTGCTGGCTAGCCGCTGTAGGAGAGAGACGGGGGGGGGGGGGCATCAGCATGCAGGCGCCGCGGCCGGCCGGGCACGCCCCGATGAGGCACTGCTGATGACGGCACCCCTGTCGGCGGCCGGCGCCGGCAGATGCGCAGGCCGTCTCCCCGACTTTCCCGCAGTGACTTCACCGTCGGATGACTTCGCCGTCTGGCGCGGCCCGTCCCGGCCGGTCCACCCCGTCTCCAAACACGCGCCCGAGGCCGCGTCTCAGTCGCCGACCTCGGGCCGGTCCCGAGAGCGGGCCGTCTGACCTCTGGCGCGCGCCGTCGACCTGACCTCCCGGCCGCCCGCCCGCTCGTGGGAGGAGCGCGCTCGCCGCCCTCCAATCAATTAACAGACGGCATAAATTGGTGCCGGCTGCGCACGGGGCCGCGCGGGGCGAGGCGAGGCGAGGCGACGCCCCGGAGACGCTCGACGACGCCAGCTCGATATCGCACCGTTACTCGACACGGATGACGTTCGATTTCCGCCGCCGGCGCGGCCGCCGGGCCCGACGGAAAACAAAAGCATAAGTTAGCGGCGCTGCTGATGGCCGCCGGCTGACGGCGGATGGCGCGCCAGCGGCTGATCCGGCGCGGCCGATGGCCCTGCGCGCCGCCGCTCGCACCCGTGTTTACTGAGGGCGCCTCCCGCCGCGCGCCGGCCGGATTGAAAAACGTCTCGTTTGTGCGGGCCGCGGCCCGCACTGGTGAGCCAGCGCCGATGGAGCGGCGTCGGTTTATTTGTTTTCCAGATCGGGGCCCCCGCTGTTCCTGTAATCCCGGTAATTCCTTGGCCGGCTCTCGACTATTGAAGAGCCGGCGGAAAACAGACGGCGTCGGGCGGCTCATTCTCCCCTCGCTCCGTCTCGCGAACACCGCCTGCTTTATCGGCGACGGCCGCCGTAAATTGGGATACATCTGGGTCGAACTAATTGAAAGCCGGCCCCTTGATGGCGCAATATCCTGGTCTTGCCCACCGCGCGGTCGCTCACGATACCCCAGACGGGTGTTCGCGGGGTTTAAAAATTCATCACCAGGGCTGCTCCGGTGCTCGATCGTCGCTGGCCGGCCCCGACGAGCCGGCGGTCACGTCGGCCGTGGCGAGGCGCTCCCGTGTCGCCGTCGCCGCCGCCAGACCGGAGCGCCGGCGGCAACAAATGACTACTCGGCCGACTAAAATACGAACCCTTAGTGGACGCGGTACACTATTTGTTTCGCGGCGGCAGTTTTTGCGCGTCAGAGCGCCGACGGGGGGAGGGGGAGGGGGGGAACTAACTACCCGCCTGGGTGAGGGCTTCGAGAGGGCCGAACGGCGGCGGGAGGGGCGCGGCGGCGACGACAGGTCGCTGCCGCCGCCGCCGCCTTCTCAACTGATTACAAAAACGCGCCCCGCTGACTGCGCTTCCCCGATTCATTACTCATTGTCGGCGGCGGCAAAACAGCGGCAGGAAGTGGGCACCGATCGCCCGTCGTCGGCGACGCGCGCCGGCGCCAGCGGCGCGGACAACGAGCGCCTGTCGCCGGCGCGCGCGGCGCGCGGCCCCGGTATACTTGGCGGTCGGGGTCCGGCGCGGCACAGGGGCGTCGTTGTGCCCGGCGCGTGACGGGCCCGCCGCACCGGCCATCACTGCGCGCCGCCTAAGACGAATAGGTCGGCTGAAGTCAGCGGCGCTGTTGTGACGTCATCGGGGGGGGGGGCTGCTGCCGCCGCGGCTCGTGTGCAGGTGGCGTTCCAGCCGAGCTGGAGCGGCGCCCGCTCAGGCCGCGCCCGGCCGTAAGCGATGGCTCAAACCGTCTCGTTAATAACACGGGTAAACTCGCTCTTTTGCCGGTTTGTACGTACACCATCTGATACGGGCTTCGACATAAATTCCGACCCTCATCGCACTTGCATTTCGTGTCCTTGGCAGCTTTCTAAAGCTGTGCCAACTGGCAAACCACTCCTGGCTGCAATTTGCATATGAAAACACATGTGCACGGCGTGTAACATAAGCACCCTTGTAGCGCCGTTTAGGGGCGGTTCATGACCTCTTCCGTTGGGCTAATTAGCGATTCTCGTCTATTCGGGTTTCCTCACTTGGTTCGAATCACATCGCGATACATCATCCCGTGTCCGTCGAAATGTTTTACATAATTTATATAAACTAGAATCATTCTTCATAACATGGATGACCTGTCAAATTCGACACTCACTTAACCCAAGGCAATTTATAAGCCGGCGCGAGGTGCGAGTCGCGCTCACGGAGCGGTCCATTGTGCCATTCCCAGGGGGCGGCCCTATCGCGGGCGTGGTATCGGCCGATCGCGGCGAGCTCCGCTGCAGTGTAAACAGGACGCGGGCGGTATCCGCCCGGTCGCTGCGGCCCGGCCGCCGCTAGTTATTCCTGTCACCCGGACATCTTCGCTTTATCAGCCCACATCGTCACCGAGGCGACCAGAAGGGCCATTTAGCGCTGCGGCCGCATACCATCCTCGTCCTTACGCCTCATCATCCCTTCGCACATACCAGCGTTCGGAGACTATAATTTCCCGGCCTCTCCATAATTCATAGCGTTAATAATTATTCCCGTGTGACGCATAGCATCTCAAGATTGTTCTCGGCGTGGGCAAACAATGGTGGTCGCGGCGTCTGCGGCGCCGGCGACGCAGTCGCGCGCCGGGATCGTCGACAGGTCAGCTGGCGCGGCGGCGCGCCGTTAGTGCGTCGGCCCGGCCGCCGCTCGGCGACTGGAAGAAACGATTCTCACCGCACGTTTATTTACATTTCAAATGTCATCGACGGCGCAGTTTATCACAATCTATGCTATTTAGATGGTAACGGGAGGCGGGCGCATTTCCATACGAGGTTTCGGTGAGCGAGCTGCGGTGGGCACGCCGGCCGACGGAGGTCGCC